TTATGGTGTAGCCTCCATAGCATTTCTCTTGGTCGTGCCATATACCAGAAACAAAATTTTGGAGCCTCCGGTTGATTCTCATTTTTTTCCAGTGTATATGCATTTTTTTCCTTGTAAGACTTAAAAATTTTGCTTGTTAATTAAAATGTGTTCCTTGTGAGGTAACTAAAAGGTATGATTTATTTGTAATCAGACTTATCTGTCTTACGCCTTAACGTTTCCTCCCAATTTAGACTTCATGGTATTCTAATCTAAATTACTTTGTGAACAATAGATAACAAATAAGGAATTTTTCCTTAATATCTTTTATAAATACACTATTTTTCCCGTTTTTCATATTTTCTGGTTCATGTTGCTTTTCTCGGGATCTTTTTGTAAAAATCAAAATACCCTTGTTGTCTACGTTCGAGTTATTGGGGTCCTTTTTCTAAGCCAGACACTAGTTCAAAATTTGAACACTTCGTATGTTTGAGTGATAGATGGGTTTGGAGAAGTTCTGAGCCAGGTGACTCGTTTTTATTAATGTCATAGACCAATTCGGAACTCCAAAAGTAAAATCTTATAAGAGTACGAGTATAGTGTCTTCCCATGGGAACACATTGTGCAGTTAGTCCCTCAAATAAAAGCGATAAAAAATCTAATTTTATTTTTGTTGTACTCATAAAAGTCTGAAAATTTCAGAAAAGGGAAAGAAAACATTTTGCCAAATAGCGCATGTGTATGTGTGTACCAGCAGTATACTAAGAATAAAAATAGCAAAAAATAAGTTTGCACATGAACTCTTCAAATGTTGTTAAATTTATACCTAAATTGTGCTCTTCCAGGTGTGCCATGTACAATTAATCCTACGGGTAAAATGTCTTTTTATTTAAATTTTGTAATCTACTTTTAAATCACACAATTATTCTAGAAAACAAGAATTTTGAATTTTCAAACTCAATAAGTCTTTATTCGAGGGATTAACTTTGGGGAGCACACGTACTCTCTTCTATCACTCAAAAAGAAAAATATAACTAATTTGGAACTTGAATATATCTAATTCAAAACTTGAAATTCCGAATTGCTATCTCAATTAGAAAGAGACCCTAGTTTGGAATTTGAAGTCCTCCGGATATTTTGGAAAATGAAAAAAAAATTCAAAAAAAAGAAGCAAAAAACATGAGTATGAAATATGAAAAATGATGATTTTTAAGTACTGCAAATAAGGGATGTTTACGTAAAATTCTCTAAACAATAAAATAAAAAATTCCAAAGTACCCCTTGATGAATTAATTTCCAACAGAAAGCACCTTGGTCAAGCGAAATAACATTAGGAAGGACTTGGAAAATGGATCTCTAAGAAGTGCATCGTATAGGCTGCTAGGGTGGGATCATGTTGGTGGCTTAGGAATAAGACAGATAAGACAAGGCCTAATCAACCTTCAAATGTGAACAATGTAAAAGAGATAAATGTAAAAGAGATAAGGAAGACTTGGTCAAGTAACAATTTAAATAGCAAGGTACAAATATAAAGCTTAAGCAAAAAAATTTCATGCTCCCGCAGGAGTATAATAACTATCTACTCCCTCTAGTAATACCCAATCTAGGAGTAATTTTAGGATCATAAATTTTAGGGATGTAACATTATCGACCTATAGACTAAGAAAACTTATAAATCACACTCTCTATGCACTTAAAAATTTAATGTATTAAAATTGAACCAAGAACATCTAATTTTTTGAGTGTGAGATCTAGGGTTACTGTCAAATTTACTCTTTTGAAAATAATCATTTAATGATATGCTTAGGTAGTTTCCTAAATTTTAGATTCAAAAAATCCTCTCAAATATATTTCCACCCGAGGTCGTATATGTACAGTATTCGCCTACACGAGCATAATATGCATGGTGTAGTAAAATCTAAACCTCTCAAATTAGAAGCAATCAAAAGCGTATAGTGAAGGACCACGGGACTTTCGAGGTCAAAAAAATCGAAAGAATAACTTGACGGGCGAGAGTTTACGGTACTCTTGTAGGTGTAAATTGTGCACTTTCTCCGCAAGCAATACTCTTGCTTGTGAGGATTGTATTTTTATAGAAATGTTGATGCATATAAAAATTAGGGTTATCAAAATTTTATTTTATTTATTTTAGTTTAAGACATTAATTTTTGTTTTAGTGAATAGGGTATAGTGTGTGAGTTGTTTAGTGAATACCGTAGTGCTTGGGTTGTTTCGGGAATATAGTTGGTTTTAATATTAGGCAAATGATTAAGTTGGTTTTAAGGAGATAAATGTTAATTAAGTTTAATTAGGATAAGGCTTACTTGAGGTGGTTTGATAAGGTCGAGTTTAAGAAAGAGAGATTATTTTTGTAGGTCTATTTACTTATTTAGTATTCTAATTGTATTAGACGGGAGATGTCTCTTATTTGTAACAAAGAGAGATTGGAATTGAGTTAAAAATTTGGGTCTTGTGAAAAGATCTTTGGGATGGACTCCCTTGCTGATCCAGAGAGAGGGTATATTATCTCACTTTTTATTATTATTTTTATTTATTTCTTCATCCATTTTTTGTTGGTATCAAATCAAATAAGATCCATCAATCACAATGATATATTGCCGCAAATCATGGAGTTTGTGGGTCAACAAATTAAGAAAAGCATGAACACAGTCATGGAGGGTATCTGAAGAGACATAAGCGAAATTAAACAGAGAGTGCAACAGTTAGAGAATACTGTTATTAGAAAAGATGGTGCTCGCAACCATGAAGATCCGATACCAAATCTCACTATAGAGGTGAATCGAGTTCCCCGACCGACTCGGGCAATTGATCCAGAATGTTAAGAACAAATTTACAGATAAGATCCATGTCCTATAGAGCATCTACAAGATCTATTTCATGAATTGCAATCAGAAGAAGAAGAACATGAAGAGGTAGAAGATCAAGAATCAACTACCGATCTAAGCATTAATTGCACATCACATCTTACTTCAGACATTGAGTTGAAGGAAACTCATGAAACACTAGTGGTGGAAGGTGCAAGAGATTTTGATATCATAATTGATTTTTTAAACGTATCATGACTTAGTTTGCTTAGGATCACCAATCAAAAGTTCGACAAGACAAGGATGAAAATTTCCAATTGGAACAAAGTAGAGAAGATAATGAAGGAAAATTTTTGAATTCCATAAATTCGAGGTGAGCTTCTCCCAGCCCTGGGAGAATGATGTAAATAAAAATTGAGATTATCAAAATTTATTTTTATTTTAGTGGATTAATTTTGCTTTAATGAATAGGGTAGTGCATGAGTTGTTTAGTGAATAGGATAGTGCATGAGTGGTTTTGGGATATGGTTGGTTTTAATGTTAGGCAAAGGATTAAGTTGGTTTGGAAACGATAAATGTTAATTAGATTTAGTTAGGATACGGTTTACTTAAAGTGGTTTGATAAGATCTACGTGAGTTTGAGAGAGAGAGATTATTTTTGTGGGTTTTTCTGTTTATTTATTTATTTTTCTAAGTGTATTCGAAGGGGAGCTGTCCCTTCTTTGTAATTGAGAGAGATTTGAATTGAGTAAATAATTTGGGTCTTGTGAAAGTATCTTTGGAGATGACTCCTTGCATACTCAAAGAGAGAATATTCTCTCACTCTATTATTATTTTTATTTATTTCTTCCTCCATTTTCCCTGCATCAAATGTTTATGAAACAATCCTAATTTATGCAGTTAACTAGTTTTCCTAAGCTCTTAAAATCCCACGTCATATAAAACTCCATTAAATGAATTAAAGATGTTCTTGAAAGCTTCGGGGGTCAAAGAAATCTCTTGCTCTAAAGTAGGTTTCACCCTACAAGAATGCAATTTGCTCCTATAGGAGCACCAAATCCTTATCTAAAATGAAACGTTGATTTAACCTGCTACCTTTTGCCCGTTAAACTCAAGGGAGCTCAGCTGTGTATGGGTCTTATCTAAAATCCGGATTTCTCAAGTGTAATTTTAAATCAATGTTTTCGATATAGGTTTCTGTAATTTGAGACCATTTATCTTTATTACAAAGAGTGGGCTTTCGATGCGTCTCAAATTTTATGAAATTCATTTTTGAACTTTGAGTCTAGTCTATTACACACTTACAACCACTTGATTTGAAATATGAAGGATAAAAATGATTGTGACTTTCTTATATTAAAAGTAAATAGTCACTTTAAATACTTTTCCTTTAGATGCAATCATTTGGTTACCATCCTGCTAGACCCATGTTTTAAATTTTCATTTATAGGACTTATACGTTTTACATCTGAGTTTTAGGGTTTTGAAATAATAGGTTTTGGAGCCCCAGTACTTTAGGCATGGAGTAGCATTCCATGTTGTATTCGTACTTGGAGTAGCACAACATGTTGGAGATCAAGATATCACATTGTGGCTCTCTGTTATCTTGCCATTCTAGGCCTTGAGCCCTTTCCTTTTTCGTAGGGCGTTCTTTTTCATTTCATTCTTCTCCATCTTTCCTTTTTCATACCGTGTGATATATTAGATTGACATGATTTAAAATCAACCATTCTCATGCTTCACTTTAAAACTCAAGGCGTGAACAGTTTCCATGATACCTGGTCAAGTATTTACAAATATTTCAGAATGGTTGAGACCAGCACACGAAGGCTTTCTTATTTGTCTTTCCATGATTATCTCATTTTTGTTTGTCGGTTGTTAAGTCTTTTCTACAACTTGTTGACACACAACATTGCTACATTGTCAAGTGGATTCACATGGAATTTTTGTTTTATTTTGAAATTTGCATGAATTTCAATTTTCTAAGTTTCTTGTAGCTTGTGTATGAATTCCTCATATATGAGAGAACCTAGGCACATGCACATGCGCACACACACGCACATGAAGACACATACATGACCACATACTCCACACACTCAACTTTGGTCCAAATTGAAAAGGAATGTGCTTGATAATGTTGTCTCCCTTTCTCTCATTGAAGAAAAAGGAACCAATTTTTGACCTTTTGCATTTTAGATGGAAAACAGGGACCTCAGTTGGTTAAGTGCGCAAGCTGCAGAATTGACCCATATAATAAGGTAAGTGTTAATGTTGGAAATGTTTTCTTAAGTAGTTCATTGTTGAGAAATTCAAAATTATGTTAAATCAGTTATGATTGTAAGATCTTATTGTTTATAACAGGCAGATGAGGGGAGAGGAACTCCAAGGATTAACAATCCAACATTTGCAAAAGCTGGAGAGTACTCTTGAATCAGGGCTAAGTCGTGTCCTATCAAGAAAGGTTGGTCTCCACCCTCTAGATGTAGGAGAGGCTATGTTTGATAATGCATGGGGAGATGCTTTATGATAATGATGTTTTACAGGGCGAGGTGCTCATGAAGGAGATTGATGACCTTCAAAGACAGGTATACTATTTCAACCCATTCCTAATTCTTTTAAATGCTACCACATGTTATGTTTGCATCATCATCATCATTATAACTTTTTTCAACTATTTGGGATCAGCTACACAAATCTTGGTCCGCTATTTTGCTCTATCAAGGGACCACATGTTGTATTATCAATTAAGCTTTGAAACTAAACAAATGCAGATGTCAAATTAATTTTTTATTGGCATTTTATTTTTGAGAAATTTGTGATCAATATTTTTGAGCTACCTGATTAGAGCCTTCATGTCCTTATGGAACATATCCGTAATCCATACAACTAAGAGTGCACCAACTGGTTAGTACCACATATCAGCAATTCCTTTTGTGCAACAGTAGTTGTTATAGTTCTTGTTGTGCGTTTTATTGGAATGATAACTCCTGGTTAGTTGGTCATTTTGGGTGACATAATCATTCTATTTCAGCGTAAACCATAGTGACATGATCTAAGGACCATTCTCTTGCCTTGTCCTTAATTTATGGAAAAACATGAACCAAATGCTTAGTATCTCTTTCTTTGTGGAACAATCATTGTTACAATTGGCTTCAAGGGAATTCTGAAACAGTCAAGTGCTCAGCACTCATTTTATTCATCTCTTAATTTTACACCATGAAGTCAAATCTAGAAGTCCTAAAACTGTGCCCCTCTCAAGTGGTTGGGGATATCGTTTGGAAACCTGCAAACAGCTTTCTAATACAACATTTCAGAAATTCTAAGCATGGATATCCTTTGGAGACTCTTGAACAGCCTGATCAGAGTCTTGAATTGCCAGGTCCTCCAAGATTTCAAGTGGTGAGTCTAACTAGACGGCTATGAGCATCTGCTTCAATACTTATCCTAAGTGTCCTCTGAAAGGGACCCTAAGAGTCCTTGAAGAAAAGATAACATCTCAGGGACTTTCTAAAGGTTCACTTCTTTAACTGTCCATTCTCCATCTTCCTTGAAATCTTTCAACCCCACTAAATTTTCTCTTGGTGCTACATTATAAAGAAACATTATAAAGGAATAGTGAGAGAAATGCCCAGTATTCTGATCTCCCTCATATAACCTGATTAAGACATGATGATCGCCTTGGTTGTTCTAAAGAGGTTCCAAAGCCACTTGGTCAAGGGAGAAATTTATTTGGCCAAAAAAAGACTCGTCATCTTTATCATGGTCAACCATCGGTCATTTTCTTGCCTTCCTTGTAAATATGCTGAGCTTTCCAATGGAAGTTGAGAAGGAAGTAGGTGTGGAATTGTAACCGTCCAAACTGATCCTTGCCAACGTAAATGGCCACAAATTGTAGTCAATGATAATTGAAGACACTTTTTAAATACGTGTGCAAGTGTATAGATTTCGAAGCCATACAAGGCACGGTTTCCACATAAGTTGGAAGTAAGTACCAATCCACCTTCCAATGTGATACTGCGATATAACTCTACACCTAGCAAGACTGGGGGCAAGATACATTTGGATGCACCATCTAATTCAACTATTCAAGTACTTATTGGTATGGAAGTACCCTTCTCTTTGGTGTCTTACATGTTCTGCTCGTTAAGCAGATGTCAAATGATAATGAAGTTGAGTTGATAGAGGGGGCTTAGTGGGTAGGAACCACATGAGACAACTTCATCAACTATAAATGATACATTCCACATGTTATCGAGCATTCTTGAATCTTGGACTTGACCTTCTGGTTGGTGTTTATCGCTCAATGTCTAGTATTATTCTGATTCTTTCAAATTTTCCATTTTTTTTAGAAATGGTAACTTTGGTTACCAAAGTGTTCCTTTTTTTTCCCGCCCCCCTTAAGGTTACTTTAAAACCAAGGTATTTTTTTTTTGATAATGTTAACTTTATTTTAGAATACCTTTTATCTCTCCCTTTTCTTTTCCCTACCAACTTGATACTTGAACATGTTGGGAGACAATAGCACGAGCTATCAATCACAAGGATCACAGTAAAAAGTTGGATAAGGGCAAAACGTGTAACTTTCAAGAGAGGCAGCATGTAGGGAGGGGCTGACTCTTTGGAGTCAGAGAAATTGAGTGCAGAACTCCCGTTATAAAGGTCTGTCACTATGAATGCAATTCTCTTAGCTATTGTGTCATGTAAAAATAGGTTATCAGTACTCCTATCTGCAGCATGCTATGTTTGTATAAGAAACCAGATGCAAGGACTGGACCCACCTTCTGCACTTTTTAAATCCACTTATTATTACCTAAGAAAATATGCCCACAAATATGTACTTTTTCTTTTATTTGGATAATCTTGGCAATATATTACCAACAGAAATAATTTACATTGGTCCTTACAAGTAGTGTGCTTAAGGCAGCCAACAAGCCGGGTGCTCCACACCTAGAATGACTTTTGTATTAACAAAATGCATGTCTGGCATCCAAGTAATGGTGTTGGTGACTGCGAGTGGAGCGAGAGATAAAAGAAAAAGCAAAGATGAGGCAAAAGAGGGATATAAGAGGGGTTCGAGAAGTAGACATGGAGACAGAAAAGTAGAGGAAAAGAAATAATAAAGAGAATAAAAGTGCGGGAGAAGGTGTTTGAGAAAAAAAGTGTAATTATAGGAGAGAGGGTCGAAGATAGAGAGACTTTTAAAGAAGTTTGGAGAGGGGGAGGGGGAGGGGGAGGGGGAGGGGGTGGGGGTGGGGGTGGGGGTGGGCGGGGAGCCAATGGTAAAGGCGAAATCGAAGGAGGCTGAATAGATGGGAGAGAGGATTTTTATGAAGAGATTGAAGATTATAGGGTTGCAAGAAATACAAGGGGGTGAGGTTTTGATGCGTGTAGTTCAAAAACCTCAGTACTCATAAACCAGCAAAGACCCAAGGAACCTGGATCTGCTCAAGACCAGGAAAGTTAACTTATGAAATAGGGTAGGAAAGTGTGAGATATATATATATATATATAGGAAGATACTACAAAACGCCTATAGGCGAAAATGAACAGTGATTTCGCTTACCCTCGTCACCATCCAAAGTTCATCGTACGGTCACGATTGTTCGGTAGTGTTATATTTTTCATTTTTTTCTACAAATCGGAATGATCTGAAGAAATTTAGACCGTGTGTTCATAAAAAATAGGCGAATCTACAAACAATATCAAAAAAGTATTTTACATGAAATAAATTGACCAAAATACCTTTAAAATGTTTCAAGGGCATTTTGGTCAATTTATTTTTTACGAATTACTTGTTTTATATTTTTATTAGGTGTGCTCACTAAGATGTACATATGCTCCAAATTTCAGATCATTCCGATTTGAATAAAAACAATGAAAAATGAAACACTACCGGACGATCGTAACCGTACGATGAACTTTGGACGGTGATGAGGGTTGGCCAAATCACTATTCATTTTTGCCTATAGGAGTTGGGAAGACTTTTCCATATATATATGGAAAATGACCTCATGAGAGCCTCCCACACCCATGTGTGTAGAACCCCAAAGGATAACCATTAAATTTGGCACAGATCTCTAGAAAAGTCAAGTCCTACACTTGGGATAACTTTTCTAGAGATATATACTAAATTTAATAGTGATCCTTTGGGGTTTTAGGCACATGGGTGCGGGACTGTCTCATACGATCATTACTATATATATATAGAGAGAGAGAGAACAATGATCCAATGCAACAGTTGTATCATAGTATAATGCAACGACACTTCTAGAAAATCATGTTTGTGGTATTTGTATGACCTCAAATCTTGCACACACACTATCTTCATCTCAATAATCAATCTCCCCAATAAAAAAGTTCAATTTGAACCCTAGATATGGTCAAAATGAGTCCCCTCCAAAAACAAATCTAAACCATTCATTTTGTGAATTTTAAGATCTTAGCCTTTATAAACTCAAAATCATTTGTTTTTTTTTAACATTGTTCATCTAATGCTAATAAAGCTATCTAAAAAAATTGGAAATGAACTTCAAAGGCCTAGATCTAAGCATCTCACCAAAATGAACGGCCTATGTTAATTGGGGTAAAAAAATACTTTTTAGGTAGTGTTTTCAAATTTTTCTTTTTTTATGATTATTCATTTGAACGAAAAGGCTTCTATCCTTGTGTCATCAATCTTAATTTGATAGAGCATATTTAAAAAAGGAGTCCCTAGAATAACAGGCTAACTTAAACCTTTTACCATTATAAATGGAAAATTGAAACAAGCACCATTATTGCAAACTACAGTATCTGATAGTTTATAGTTATAAGCATTTTGCTGCCATCTGCAGTATTAAGGATTTGGTTAGTCTTGCTGAAGTATTTAGTTGGTATTAATTCTTCATTAATACAGTATAGGTCTGCTCCTGAATCTATCAGGGCGGTAGTTTGGAAGTTGTATTCCTTTTGAACTACGATTTTGATATTTGTAAACCATTTTTGGGTTATAATTTTGTCTACAAGGTTTATATATTTACAATTTTGGACCTTTTCTATTACATTCATTCCAGCTTTGGAGGTTTCTGGTTTAGGAAGGGTGTCTTCAACCTCAGGTGGTAAAAGCATATTATACTCATTGATTAGATTATCAAATTCACCTTCTATATTTTTTTCTTCAATTGCCTCATTGATAGGATTCTTGGTTAATTCAAGGATTTGAACCGTTGATTTTAGAGCTATCAACTCATTTTTGACTTCATTGATCTCATATTTTAGCTCAGATATTAAAGGTTCCTTTTCTGTATATGTTTTATTTTGTACCCTTTCTAAAATATCTTGGAAACTATAATCTCCTTTTGTTGGGACAAGAGAAGACTTAGGTTTTCTAGAAGGGGCTTTGGACATATTGATATACTGGGTTAAGGCTTCTTTTTTAGCCTCTAGGTCAAATATTTTGTCGATGAGGTCGATGATCAGGTCTTCTTCTTTGGTGATGGTAGTGATGCTTAACCTATTCATATCTATTATTGCCTTGTAAAAATCACATTGACAATTTTCTTTTTCTTTCTCTGGACTATTTTTATTATCGGAGTCTGAATTAAAA